TGTGCCATAGCGTAGTATAAATGAGATTAAATTAATTTTTATTATAAGTTATTGGTCAAAGATATGAAACAATAATGCATTTAATATTTTTTTAAATTATAATTTAAAAATCTTGTTTAAAATGATTTATTTATAAAATTTGCACACTTTGTACAAATATAGTAATAAATGTTTGAATTGTTATAAATTTGTTGAATTTATTTAAAATACACTACTGGAATACAGTATTATAATTTATATAATAAGTTAAACTTATTTTTGATCAAATACTGGTAGAGTAATATAAAAATTACATAACATCTTAACATAATTTTCCACACAATTTCATACAATTTTCTCATCAAAAATAATAAAGTATATACTATTTTTAACACACATTTTGCTAAATTGCATACACTTTTCAGTTGTATTATAAGTTAATGAGCGGAAAGTCAATCGAAATTTCTAAAGGCTTTCCAGTTATTAACTTTACCGTAGAAATGGATGATTGATTTGAATCTATAAGATATATATATATATATCTTATAATTTCAGAAATTAAGTTAATAATACTGTATGTGAACATACAGTATATTTGCTGCTTATGACATAACATTAAATTAGATAGCATTTAATTTTTATTATTTTAATTTTTTTGCTTCAAATACACATACATTTATGCACAAACACATAAATAATATAACATGTCATTTACTACAGTATATAAGATAACATAAAAATGTTGAGAAAAACATATAAAATGAGAACATTTTGCAAACTAAATGATAGTCCTCATCAAAAAATACATAAAAATGTATCACAACTACTGTCAACATAGAAGTCATTTTATAATAAGAGTATTACATAAAAATCATAAAATATTTCATTTAAATGTCTACTCATTTTAAGAACAAATTATATTCATAATGACATTTTGTGTGCAAATAGTTTTACCGATAATTATCTGATATCTCATGTTTTTATTTGTTGTTGTGAGGTATGGCCATAGATATTATATTTCTTATGTGTTCATATGATTATAGTATATATACTGCATATACTATACATCAACGACAGTCTGTTATTGGCTCCCAAAAGATAATGGCTATGAAAATCTCATATTTATATAAATTACAATGTATTACAAAAATTATAGCATAACTAATATACAGTAGTAGTCGTGTGGATGTGTTTTGTCTAACAATTTTCTTACATATAACTTATAAAACCTTATAAAGAGAGTCAATGAGAGAGTCAAACAGTTTTCATTAGGAGTTTTTGATAATATAAAAGCAAAATTATGGTCACATATGTTAGTGACAAACTGTGATTGATAGCAATAACAGCAAAACGATATATTGTGTGAAAAATATTGAAATCTCTCTTTCTTTCTCACTTATTATTATTATTATTATTATTATTATTACTATTACTATTATAGAGATATGAAGTGTTAGCTAAACGAGAAAAGTTTGTAATATTATTTTTGTCGATTGCTTTTTCAAAAAATATGATAACTCTTAGAGTCATAGACTGACAAACTTTGAAACTTGTCTTTTATATACATGTGATGGAGATATGATTGACATTTGAGTTCTTACTGTCATTTTCTGACTGCTCTTATATTTATGGCTATACTATACACTACTGTAGATATTCTCAGTAAACGATTAATTTATGGTTAATATTAACTCAACAAAAAAGTTACATAATTTAAATACTGTATATAAAATAGTTGGAAATAATTTTATTATATTTTAAAACTAATTATTTTAATAGAGGATTAAAATAATAATAATAATTAATCTTTATTTATCATTAAATTGCAATGAAATACAAAACATGTTGTAATCATAAAATCTCAGTAATTTTTTTTACAAAAATATTAAAATCATTTGTATTTCATATAAAAACAGGTAAATCATTAAATATATTTATACAATAGTTAAAATAAAATTTATCAAATAACTCAATACATTTAATTTTTTTAAATACACCATTTCAAGATGTATTATAAAAATTAAAATATTCAAACCATTGTTGAGGTGTTGTTTTATTATGTAATTTAATGTTATAAACAAATTTAATGTTAGTGATTGTATTTCTCTGCGTTTTTTACTTTTATTTTTACTACTTTAAGAAAATAAATTAAAAATTTTAAGTCTTTCAATATAATTACAATTAAAATATCCTAATTTATTACAAACTAATTTTGAAACTCTTTTTTGAATCATTTCTAATTTATTACATTGGGTTTTAATTGGTATCCAAAAACTATTTGAATACTCTATTATTGGCAGTATATATGTTTTATAACATTTTAACAATACTTCACCATTGGTTTTATTACAAATTTTAATTTTTACAATTTAAATTTTGAAAATGATCTCTAAAAAATTGAATCACAATTATTAGTAAAACTCATTTTGTTATCATATATAACATCTAAATATTTAAAACAATCAAAATATAAAGTGTATAATAAATACAATTCATAGCTATAAAAATAATGATTAATCGTTTTGAAATAATACATATTCTAAACATACTATACTTATAACTAAACCCACAATTCTTGATTTAATTGCAAAATGTTTTTAATTACTGTAAGAAAATAATTTTTAACAAAAGTATAATTATATTAATATAAATAATTATTACTATAATACTTACTAATAGAATATTTAAAAATATTTTACATTATAACTTATAAGTAAAATTGTATTTAATTCATTTTTAATAATTTTTATATAATATGTAATATTAAATAATAATATTAAATCTAATAGTTTAGTTAATTAACTAAAAATTAAACACTTATTATATGTATAAATATCCAAATGTATTTTTAGTTTTTAAATAATGTAATAAAAATATTTATATAAATTAAATCATTAAGTCGAAAGATAGATATATTTATTTAACTAATGCTCTATTAAAACATTAATTTATATTTTTATTTACATAAAAGTTAATATAAAAACTTTGTTGGTGAGATTAATACAATATATCAAAATATGAACATTGTTATTATTTCTAAATAAATATTAATGATTTTATAATTTAAATCTAATAAGTGATTTTTTAAAATAAATATTTAAAAATTAATATTAACTTTCAAATTTAATTTAATATGACTTATGAATCGTCTTTTAAAAATGCTTTATTTTTTGGTTATTTGTTGTAACTCTTTATGAAATAAAATGTTTAAGATTTTATAATTAATTTTTAAAATATTTTATTAAAAATTAAATGTTATGCGATTTTTGAAGCAGTATAACCATTAATAAGACAATTTACTTGAAATTTTTAGAATATTTTAATCAGTTTTTAAAAATTTTGATTAAAAAATACAGAATATGTGTATAGTTTTTTAATTATAACTTAATATAATATATAGAATTTATAATATATAAATATTATAATAGATTATATTAGTAAAATCTGTATACATAGCTTTACTATTTGTAAAAATCTTATTTTAATTAATTAATTTTCTCAGAGTTTTGACATCTAATTTTTATGTTATATAATTAATAAACATAAAGTCTAACATAGCTTTATTATATTGTAATATACTGTACTATATTTAATGTTATGTTATTTTTGTAATAATAATAATAAGAATATATAACTGTTAATAGTCTTTAGTATTATGTTTAATTTATTTTTTATACTATCTATATAATAATATTACAAAAAATATAACACAAATATATATATATTGCATAAATGTTATAAAAAATAAATGAATAACTGACAAGAAATTATTTGAATAAATTAGTAGTGAATGCAATTACTTATAGTTATATTAAAATGCATTACTATTTATTAAAGAATTTGAAAGAAAGCCTATAGAGTGTGACTATATATTAGAGTTAAGACTTTAATACCATTTGATCGATGGATTTATATTTACTTTTATATTATATATACAGCGAGTGGTGTATAAGTTAGGTCCCATTATGGCATATATAATACATAAAATCTCTTAATGGTGTATCAATATATTGTATATCTAAACAATATTTATAACATTCACTTACACTTATACTTCATATTCTGATATAAAAAATAATAGCAAACTTTAAAAAATTTACTTTTTTTTATCTGAAAATAAGAAAACAATACTTTATTTTGTTTTATATATTTTAAAGAAATATCCGTTTATTCAATAATTTAGGTTTTGCTATAATGGTATAAATTTTTAAATGCTTTTTTGTTCTCATTATTTTCTATATAAAATAGTAGTAATAAAAATGTATTTTAATAAAAATTTTAGAAACTTTACTTTTGCGTCAAAAATTCATTATTCGAAAGATTAATAGCTCTGCAATATATTTATATATAATCTGAACAATAGTACAGAAAATTTAATCAAATTATTTTATATATTATTTTTATCAACACAATGATTATATCTATTATAATATTTAAATGCTAAATAATATTTATTATTTAAAAAATTATATATTTAAATACAGTTTATTGTATATAAACATAAAAAAAAGTTTCAAAATTTTATTTTTTAAATACATACTGTGTGTCATATTATACAAATTATTGATATATATTATGAATATATGAATATAAATTTTCAAATTTATTTATTTTATTTATAAGCAACATCATTTTATTGGTTACTATTAAATTACAAATTTTGTTATTTCACTTATTTAATAAATTATTTCATACATAATACTGTATTTCATTTTCATTTCATCTGTATTTATCAACTTTAAAAAATTATTTATTAAAAATTAATTTTAAAAAACAATTAATATATGTTGTATATTTAATATAAATTTTTATATAATGATTAAATAATATTATAATTTATACACAATTTATAACAAAATATAATATTTGAATTAGTATTGCCGTCTAATAGTAATGAACTAAACTATTATATTAGTACCATATGTGACGTAATGGTAGCCAAAAAAATGTTTAAATATTGACATTTAATTTCATACATGAGTTGAACGTTACCGCACGTAAAGCTATAAATAGGCGGGGCTTATATCAAACAGTAGTTGTTTATACTTGTGATATGTATTTTTAGTGTATGTATAGGTATACTACAGTACAGTATATATATATAGAATATTATCTATAGTTTTTTGGTATGAGTTAATTGCTGTTCGAAAAGAGTATAATTAGTTTTAGAGTGCATTTACTGCTAATTAACTGTAAATTAATTGAATGAATGCACAAAACGATTGTATGAATGATATGATATAATCATAATATGAGTGAACCGTTAAATGTGTTGATATTATTGACTAACACTTGAAGTCAAAGCAAACAAATGTCGAGTAAATCAATGATGGGTTCAATGAATGTCCAAATGAGTGACAATGAAGTGGACAGATGTGTGATTCGGGTGTCGGGAATGACGTGTGCTTCGTGTGTGGCCAACATTGAGCGGCATCTGAACCGAGTGGACGGTATTCACGGCGTTTTGGTGGCACTTCTCAGTCAAAAAGCTGAAGTCAAGTACGACGCGGCGTATCTGATGCCACAACAGATCGCTAACATCATCACCGAAATGGGATACCCGGCCGTTGTGGCCGACGGCTATGAGGCCAACGATGGCGAACTCGAACTCCGGATACATGGCATGACCTGTTCGTCGTGTGTCAACACAATTGAGACCAATATCGGCAAACTTCCCGGTATTAAGAGCGCTGTGGTGTCGTTGTCCACAAATGTCGGTCGCTTTGTGTTTGATTCAGAAGTGACGGGTCCGCGAACTATAGCCGATGCAGTCAGTGATATGGGCTTTGATTGCTATCCAATAACATCGCTATCTATGAGTAATGCCTCGTATTTGTCTCAAATCTGTGAAGTGAAGAAATGGCGAAACTCTTTCTTCTTTTCGCTGTTGTTTGGCGTCCCGTCGATGATAGTTATGATGTATTTTATGCATCAAATGCCTGCCAGTGGTGAACATCATGAAAGCATGTCTACTCAATACAACCTATTGCCCGGACTATCGGCTGAAAACTTTTTTCTTTTTTTGTTGGCCACTCCGGTTCAGTTCATCGGTGGCCGTTATTTTTATATTCAAGCATTTAAGGCACTGAAGCATCGGATGGCAAACATGGATGTACTCATAATGTTAGCCACAAATATAGCCTACTTTTATAGCGTTTCAATACTCATATACTTCATATCTGTCGGTGCGGAACATAGTCCGCGCACTTTCTTTGAGACGCCACCTATGCTTTTGGTGTTCATATCATTAGGTCGTTGGTTGGAACACATAGCTAAAGGCAAAACATCTGAAGCGTTGGCCAAACTCATGTCACTTCAGGCCACCGAAGCTATTCTAGTCGAATGGGATCATAATCTCAATAGAACTATAACAGAGAAGTCCATTGATGTCGAACTCGTCCAAAGAGGAGACTATCTTAAGGTAATTCCCGGAGCGAAGATACCAGTTGATGGACGTGTCGTATACGGACATTCAATGGCTGACGAGAGTCTAATAACAGGTGAATCACTACCAGTTGCTAAACGGGTCGGCTCTCAAGTTATCGGTGGATCAATCAATCAAAACGGTATGATTGTTATTTGTGCCACACATGTAGGAAAAGATACAGCTCTCTCGCAAATTGTAAAACTCATTGAAGAGGCGCAAACATCGAAAGCACCGATACAACAGTTGGCCGATAAGATTGCCGGCTATTTTGTTCCCGGAGTGCTTCTCGTGTCTATTACGACACTCATCTCATGGATTGTTGTCGGCTATAACTATCCTGAGATCATAACAGCATATCATTTACACGATACTGAAGATGGCTTTTCAAAACATGAAATTATCATTCAATTTGCCTTTCAATGTGCTTTAACTGTACTGTCTATAGCCTGTCCCTGTTCTCTGGGTTTGGCTACACCAACAGCAGTCATGGTTGGAACGGGTGTCGGAGCTCTCAATGGAATACTTATAAAAGGCGCCGAACCGCTGGAATCGGCTCATAAAGTCAAATGTGTTGTCTTTGATAAAACTGGAACAATAACTTACGGCACTCCTGTTGTCACCAAAATTATCTTATTTGATGTCATTAAAGATGAACCGACTTCTTGTTTACGATATTTGAAGACATTATTGGCAATTGTGGGAACAGCTGAAAACAGCTCTGAACATCCAATTGCTAACGCTATTTGTAATTACATTAAAAAAGCTCTTGAAATTGATGTCTTTGGGACGTGTGATGACTTTGTCTCAGTTCCTGGATTTGGTCTCCAATGTCTTGTATCTAATATTGATGACTCAATTGTTAATTCTGATAATAAGAATTTGATGAATGAATTGAAGTCATACTCAAAATTAAATCCCGACGCAGAAGTAATACAATTTAATGAAATTGATATAGAATTTCATAAAACAAATATCAAAATAATTGACACTTCAGACACTGATAAAGCCTACGATTTAAACTCAAATAATAAGTTTCGTGTTTTAGTTGGTAATAGAGAATGGATGACACGGAATGAATTGAATGTAACTCAAGAGATCAATGAATTGCTTATGCAATACGAGATTTGTGGACAAACGGCAATTCTTTGTGCTGTCAATGGAAGTCTTAGATGTATAATATCAGTGGCGGATACAGTGAAACCTGAGGCACATTTAGCCGTTTATTCACTTAAAATGTTAGGACTGGACGTTGTATTACTTACCGGAGACAACAAAAAGACTGCGGCAGCCATTGCTAAACAGGTTGGCATAAATCGTGTGTTCGCTGAAGTGTTGCCCTCACATAAAGTTAAGAAAATAAGACAACTGCAGTCAAAAGGGATCAAAGTAGCGATGGTTGGCGATGGTGTCAATGACTCGCCTGCATTAGCTCAGGCAAACATTGGCATTGCTATCGCTAATGGAACCGATGTGGCCATCGAAGCTGCCGATGTCGTACTCGTCAGAGTAAGTCATGATATAATCGATATACGATTTTCAGTATTAAATATATTTAAATTACAGAATGATTTACTCGATGTCTACGGAGCTATTGATTTGTCCCGACGGACAGTACAGAGAATTCGTCTGAATTTTATGTTTGCCAGTGTTTACAATGTTTTAGGTATTCCTATGGCTGCCGGTGTTTTCCTTCCCTGGGGTATTGTACTTAAGCCATGGATGGGATCGGCAGCAATGGCTTTATCATCGGTATCAGTGGTGGCCTCTTCACTGTTGCTTAAATTGTATCGAAAGCCTACTCGAGAAACATTGCAAACACCAGAATATCTGGAATATGAGAGAAAATCTCGATATTATAAAAGTGATTCAGATTTTGACAATATTTCCATTCATCGAGGACTAGACGATACAAATATTCCGGAGCCCAAGGGATCAATAATTAGTGATAATTTAAGTAAAGTGTTGAATATGATGCCCGTCTCATCCAAAGCTATCATTAAAATTGATAAAAGTTGTCAACCATTGCTTGACACTAATGATAATACTAATTATGAAATGAATCAACTCGTCTAACATTAGCAGTCAATTAAAGTCAATTAAATATTATATTGTGATTTAAATGTTACAAGTTGTCAATTTTAAATTTTATTAACATATTTATATATTTTTAACATGGTTTTTACTCAAATTATTCTCGCAAAATAAACAATTAATGTAAAAATATTCAATTTTGCTGTAAATGATGTTATAGTTAGATGACAATAAATTATTGATATATTAAATTTTACAATTAATTATATATTTTCTACCCTACCATAATCGTATTATAGTTTTAATTTATTAAATCTAATATACAGGTAAATTATTTATTATATTTACGTTAATTACATTAATTTTTTTATTAGTTCTAAATATTTTGCTGCGAAACATACTGTAAATACTAAATGATTTAATATTTTTGGATACAACTACCTGTAATTATGTCTATATTTATAGTATATCTAATCACATTAATACCGATTTATTTATATCATATTAAAAACTATTATAAATTTTAGTAAATAGTAATTAAATCCAATATGAATGACAAATGAAAATAATTTAGTTATATAATTACTGTATTATCATTAATACAATATACAGCATAATACATGTATAATTACTGTATATTGTTAAAATAGTAAAAATGAAATAAGCAATGTTTACATAAAAATAAATTAAATATAAATATCATTTTTATAAATCATTTTATTAATCAACAATAGCGCTGATATATTAATTATAGTTATAGTAATATTAAAAAATAATAATTCTATTAAATCTATAAATTATTAAACATAATATACGATATATAGTTTTATGTTTACAATTTAACTTTTAAACTTTAAATATATATATATATATATTTATACTAAATATGTTATATAATAATTATAATAAATTTTGTTTGTTTGTGTAATTTTGTGTATTTATATAACATAATTGAGATAAAAATTAAGTCAGACATGCAATCGATAACAAATTCTTATGTAATATTATCGGTATATTTATTATAAAATAACTTAAGTTTAACTTATTATTATCTTTCCAGCGCTTATACGGTATTTGCATTTAAAGTGATTTTGTTTAAAAATGATTTTTAGCATAAATATACATTTTTGCTTTATAAATAGATTTTTATATTTAATTGTAATCATTTTGGATAATATACAGTATATATTATGTTAAGAGATAACGTTTGATTAGTTGACAGATCTTATGATTTGTTTGCAATTATATGCAAATTATATATATATTTAATAAAATCCTTGGATTGATTAACATTTTAATTTTAAAATTATTTATAATAACAACAGTAAATAATATTTAAATTAACTTTATATAATAATTGCATTAAAGGCACATTTTCAAAGAGTTGTTCACTTTATACGATAATAATTATAAGTTTATTAATATGTTTTGACAAAATATAAAATTTCAACCAAAAAAATTATTTGCTGTTATACTAAATAAATGTCAATACCATATATTATGTAAGACATCAAACGTTGAGTATTTGTTTTCATATAATTATTACAATTTTTTGAAAACATTTACACGTTTTATAAAATAAAATAAAAATTACTCGTTTATCAACCCGAAGGACAGTGTATATCCTAAATATGCCTTTCATTATATGCAATAAACAGTTATTTGATTATAAGCCCCGGCCTATCATTTTTTGTGCTTAAGTCTAGACTTCATATATTGCTTTATAATAAAAACGATTTGATAAAAAAACAAATAATAATAATTTAAAGCGATTTCTAAATTGTGTTTTTTAAAATACAATAATCAACGACTAATACTAAAACTTGAAGACAAACATCAAAATAATACATTTAATGGTCCGGCAGTTATATCGTTGTCTATAGTTTTGATTGCAATCAAAAACTAAATAAACACAAAGTCTGTCGCAAATATTAAAACTTCAAAATTGATTTTACAATATCTTAATGTGTATTTTAACAATTGTTTTAAAAAATCATTATTATTTATAATAACATATTTACAAATTATACACAACAAAAATATTGAGCTAAGTTAGCGTTAATAAACATAAATAAATAAATAATTAATTAATTTTACATTTATCACATCCCTTCCCATAAAATCATTTCTATGATAACATTCTGTGTTTATATTTCTCTATTTTGTTTATTACTTATTGTTTATTATAAATAATTTAATCAATAGTAATAAATCATAACTTTGTGCTCAAAGTTTCAATAATTAAATTTAATTAATTTATATAAAATTTAATTTTAAATAATACTATTGAGATAGATTTGAAAGTAATTTATATTAAATTAAATATATTAGCATCAACATAATGTTTGAGCAATATTTTACTAATATAATTTATTTTATCATTTTAATACAAGATTAGCAGTAAAATGATTTTAAATAATATGTATATACTGTATATACTGTATATATAATTTTCATATATTTAATACATTTTTACATTATTTTATATATTATTATATATTCAAAATTTTAACTGAAAAATTTTCTCTAATAATATTAATATTAATTAAATCTTACTATAAGTTATATTCTCTTTTTCATCTTAACATTTAAAACATTTTGTTTATATAATAGTTTTGTTTAAAATTTAATTATGTTTTTAATAAATATTGGACGACGAAACTGATGAGAATTTTTTAATATTTATATATTTTTTAGTAAATAAATTCAAAATTTATGCTCAAATGTATTATTTTTACCATGGTGATTTTTCTAATGTAAAAATCTTATAGATAAAAGTCTGTTGTGCATATATTTTTGAAATCTATTTCAGTTAATTAACATATTTACATAATTTTACATTTTATACATTTTATTTGAAATATATCAATACTTTTACTGAGTTTTCCCCTTTGTAATAATAATAATAGTAATAATAATAATGTTTTGTTGAATAAAATATATTTATATATAATAACTTAGTTTATTACATTTTTAATATATTTTCTGTGTTTTAATTAAGATCATTAATGAAATTATCGTTAAAATCAAGGATAAAACCCGTAATTATTTAAAATTATTTATTTTTAACAATTAGTCCATTAAAAAGATGAAAATATCAAATAATTTATCATAAGTCAAGTACCAACAATGCACTTGAAGTACAATAATTGTTATATAAAATCAATGTATTAGATTTATGAGAAATTTCTTAAAGTCTTCAACTAATTATTATACATAATTTATTCAACAAATTGTGTCTTTTTAAACCATATCTTAATATATATATATATATATATATATATATATATATATATCAGTAATAGAAATTTAAATGTTTGCGTAAAATATCATATTACCAACATTTGAAGCATCACTTTGAAAATTATTATTATTATGATTATTATTATTTACGTAATAGTATTATTATAATTAAAAGTTGTTAACGAGTAATTGTCTGACTGTAGTCTGTGTGATATCTTATTATAGTTATCGTCATATATATACTGTATATTTGACTTACTCTTTATGCATAAAACAGAAAAAAACAATGAATAAAAATAGATTAAATAATTAAATGTTGAAATATATAGATATTTATCTTTTATATTTTGTTAATATAAAGATCCATGTTTCATTATACATTAGTTATAGATTTTTTTTTAGATTTTAAATGTGTTTAAAAGTTATTTATGATTTTTTCGTTAATTAATGTTTCACTCGTGAATTTATAATGTTAGGCTATTATAAAGTGGCAGTCATTGAGGGAAATATATTTATTATGATTTTGTTTTATTATATTATTAATTATTTTCAATATCGATGGTCTCTATCACATCATTAATGGCCGATAACTTGATTTTTGTCTTATCCCTAATAAATGGCTGAATCGATGGTTTTATTCCATTTAATTATATTAATATATAGATATATTTATCAATTATCCAATGAAAACTGTTATATGTTTTAATTAGATATAATATTTATCACATCATTATTAATTTTTTTATATTGGATATAAATACTATGCATTTGTAATGTAAATGAATGTGTAAATTATATCGTAAAAATAATATTCAATTTTCATTATATCTAATTAATAATCCACTTTTTAGGCCATTATTTATAACTATTATTATACAACTGTATTAATTTGGTTATGAAATAAGCCGTTATTATTGATTTTCGCCGTCAAGTGCTTCGAGATATTTATTATCGATGACAACCGGAACGATCTTATGTCTGAAAATATTATATTAATTATTTATTAGTATTATTGAATACAATTAATTTTATTAATCAATTTGCTATAATCTATAATTCATACTAAGTATTATTATTACATTTATAATTGTTTATGAATTTAGTTTAAGTTTGGGAAAAGTAACAGACATGCAATGTATTTCAATAAATATATTTTATATACTGTATTAAGCACTTACCTAAATGGCAGTAGTAATAGAATAATGACTGGGAAGACCATTTTGACGTATGGCCAGGGACTGAACCCAAAGAAGCACATTATACCCAACTGTACCATTTGGCACAGTGTGAACATATGGATCTTACGTTGAGGACATCGACGTATGTAATGATTAGGCGGGTATGCGGCCTATTAGTTATACACACAAACATATGTTTTATAATAATGTATATCTAAGTCATGATTATCTATTTGAACACATACTTGTTCCATAAACAATAGGGTGATCCTCTCAAACATCTGATTACTATTTAATGATGTTATTGCCATATATAAGAATAAGCCGTTTAATACTGCAGTAGGAATGTATGCCAATGGATAGGGAAGCAAAAACACCGACAGTCCTATCAATATGTGAGACACTATTCCTGTCAACCGAGTTTCCCTCACTTTAACGATACTATTTTAATCAAATAAATAAATATATTAAATATAACAAATGTAATAAATGAAAAATACTACTAATATGTTACTAATCATTATATCAGATTGTCTGGCATTTAATGAATTATATAAACCATTAATAATGTGATCAGTTAATTGTCAAAATTACAAATAAATGCTCTTATTTTGATATTGGCTTATATTAAATATTAAATATTAAATATTAATTTTGTTGTCATTATATATGATATCATACATTTCATAGACATGTCCCTGATCGACCCTTTCCTCTACATCAGCCAAACTTCGTACATGTAGTGGTGAGTGAGGCAGTACACCGTGCATCCAGGGAAGGCCATACATTGATAGGAAACCATTCAAAATGCCGACAACAAATAGGTCCAAATGATAGGCACATCCTTTCTTTAATCTAAGAATATTACAATTGTTTATAAAACGTATTTATAAAATAAATTTTAAATATAATTTACTGTATTCAGTCAATCGATAAGTTAATTATTAATAAATTTAATAATAATTATAAAAATTGCAAATTACTTATTGCATGGATTGTTAACCATAGCGGCTGAAATATTTTGGTCCATAAAAAACAGGAGCGACAGAGAGAATCCCAGTCCCATACACCCGAAATATGCGGTCCACGGCAGGTACTCAAGACGGGCCCGACTGAACTCAAATGTATTGCTATAGCGAAAGTGCTCCACTAATCATCAAAATTATATATAAATTAAATCAAATCAATTAAAAACATCATTATATCAGTTATTATTCTTGTTATAAATCACTTAATATGTCATTTGAGGATCATTTCAGTTGTGTATTAAATATTTAACGCTATAATTATTATAAATATAAAACAAAATATATGATATAATATACAAAATAACAAAATTACTACTTTTATCAAAATCTTTTAAAACTCAAAATAAATAGTGATTTTTATTTACATAACACATATTTCAAACATTTAGTACAGTAGTTGGCATATGAATGATAAGGTGTTGAATCAGCAAAACTATTAAATTTTGAATTTATTTCTTATAATCAATCAATGCTTTAACGTATTTTAAAGGCATTCACATCAAGTGTTTCTCATTCATTCATTCATAAAAGTGTCATTTAGTTTAGTATTTATGTGTAAATGCTTTCAAAATTGAGTAAATCTGTCTTTTCAATTGGTTTTATATTTACTAAAAGTATATAATGCAGAAAATAAAATATGACATAAAATTTATATAATAATACACAGTAGTATTTTAGTATATAAATTGTGTCTTTTATGTACAGTAATGAATGAATTACTAATAATATATAATAAATTGTTGGTTAATTATAAATATATTTATATATTAAATACCTAGTAATATCTTATAATTAATTTATAATATTAATTTAATTCAATACATAAATATTTTACACATCCCAAAAATGACTAATGAGTCCATTGATTTAAATAATATAAACTATTTTATACTATAATAAAATTAATTGAAAATTATTTTAGTATTCAAAAATTTTGCTTTAATAGAAATTGGACTTATTATATATATATTATATAAATGTGATATTTATTGGTGCCATACCTGGAATATCCTTAAAAACAAACGATCCAATGAAGCTGAGCAATAGGACAGCACAGGGAAGCGCATAATCAGCTAACAGTTCCCGTTTGCTCGCCTGTAAGTATGGACTGTATATGACATGCAAATTGACAAAACAAACAGTTAAATATTGATATATAAGTATATAAAACAATTTATAAAACAAAATAACATGATATTTAATATTTATGAAAAAACATTAGAAATTTTATACATGAATACAAAATTCAAACATTATTTAATACATAAAATATTTTTCTATTTTTTTATTTCATAATAAATCGTGAGTCAAATCCATGAATATTTGTTTTATTGGTTTATAGTTTATATGTATAGTGTTTTGAACTGCATATATATACAATACAATACATCTATTGTAACATAGACAACATTGTGATTTTATAATGCAATAATTTTTGTAGAAAATCTTATTATTTTTTAAATTTATTTCATTTTTCTAAATTGATTTGAATTTTATTGCATAAAGAAAATATTGTTTTATTTCTAATATATATATATACAGTATATGTATATTAGAGGTTTCATTGATTATCTAATCTGTTTTTAAATTTAAATTGTTAGTATAGCTAATTTTGATACAATCATTATTTCATTATAAATATGGAAATTGTTTATAAAAAATATAATAACTAACAGAATTTAATTATTTGAAATTTATAAAAAATTTCTCTAATATTATATTAGAAATTATTAAATATTTATATAAAATAAAATATATATTAGTAGATATAAAAAATATTTTTGAGCTTAAATCAATTTAGGTAATGTTTAGAAAAAACATAATTTTTTATATTGTAATAAGTTTTACTTGAAAAGTCTATTCACGTGAATATCAAATCAATAGTAAAACATGAATTTAGAAGTTATGCTTACAATTCAGATAATATAACAAAAAAAGGAGTGATTTTTTGTAAGCAATAGGTCAGAGATAAATAATGTATTAGAAAACATTGCAAATCATTGCCTTTAATATTGAATTGAATTGTTGTTGACATTGATTTACATGCAATCAAATGTGATAAATATTACATTGCTTTTAATGTTATACTGTTTACTACTTTACTATTCTGTATACATTATATGTGAAAGTGGTTTAAATGGTTAGACTTTGCAAATGGTAGACATAAAACACAATCAGAGAACGAGAGAAAAACGAAACACTCAAGAATTAGTATTCATTAGACATAAATTTTCATAAAATAAAAAAGTTTAGCACAAAAGTAGTCTTATTTTTTAAGATAAGAGAGAGAGAAAGAGAGAGAATGAGTGATATATATATATATATATATAATATATGATAAAAATGGTTGATCCATACGTTTTGTTAAAATTGAAGAGAGAGACGGCCATCCAAACGGTGCCTAACATGAGCAATAGGAAGAGTAGACTACTTTCCCTCCGGCAGATAGGCTCCTGAGCTATGACTATGTCGTCAAACATTGTCATATTGTCAGTACTGTTGGTGACATTAGTAAACAATGAAATATTATTTTGGGTCACTATATATGACTCGACCGCAACACTGGCGTTGTATTGCATATCAGTGCAAATCGGGGAATAATAATGTGTTTGGAAATCTATAGGAAAGACAAAATTAAAACAAATGTTAGTGTCATATAAAACAGCAAATACTTAAACTCATCATTAATTAAAATACTAAACTGCTTTACTAAAAATATTTGCTTTATTTATAAAAAATTATAACTTAATATTGATAACTAACATTAGTTAACATTAATTTTTTTTAGTTTTTTTGTTACACTTAATATATAGTAAATTATAATACTTTTATTAATTGATATAAATAAGACAGAAGAAAGAAATTTCATTAAAATATTGTAATAAAACTAAATATCATAAAACAATGATTTTAGATTTGAAAATTAATTGTTTGCATGTTTATAGAGAAAATTATATATTTTATAATAATTTTTATATAATTTTATAAAAAATTATTAGAATTCAATAAATCTAATAATTTAGAAAACATTTTTACTAATAAATTAATAGTTTAGCAAATTTTAATTTTTTAAACTTTACTAATTAGTAATAATTAAATATATTATATATCTTTATGTATTTGATATTCATAATAAGTTTAACCCTTGAATCTACAAATTATCTTTAATATATATATATAAATTTATATAATTACTAATACATATATTATTATTATTATATATACTATATAATATATATATATATCTGCAATCAAAGATGAAAAAGAAATGGATTAATGATTTGAGTTATGACTAGACTTTCATTAACTTTTATAGAAATATAAATCTCCTAAAAAACAACAAAATTATAGGCAATCTTTATCTCATCCCTCTTAATGATCTCAATTATAGTTTGCTTCACAATATTTTTAAAATACATCAATACTTTTTACTAAACATCAATAAATAAAAATCAATAATGAAATCAACCAAAAATTTAATCTAATCTGTCTTTAAATTGTTAATTTTAAATTTTAATTGAGTCTAACAAATAAAAGCATATTTCTGTAATTTATAATAATCATTTTTAGATGGTTAGAAATTACATTTACGATTTTTATTAGTTATGTTTTTATGTCCTATTAAAAAATAATATTTATTATTATTATTTATATAAGAATAACATAACAAAGAAAATAAATAAAACCTAAATAACATTAATACAAAATATTAATTACTAATAAATAATATTTAAAAATATAATTGTGAATTTTAAAACATTTATAATTTTACATTATTATTATTATATAATATTTTTAATTAATCATTTAATTAATCATTGTACAATTTTTTCATAAAAATTTTGTCGTCAAAATTATATTTTAAAACTAAATTTCTGTTAATTTAATGTAATAATAAAATAAAAAAGCATATAATTAGTATTGTCTTATTTTATCGATAATTAGATCAAAACATCAGTACATGACTGGACTTCATAAATGTAATAAATTTTATACTTTAATTCATCACATTTTTTATATCATTCAACTTATTTTATAATACACTTAACATAAATTGTTCAATTTATAAAATTACTGGTATATTTAAAAATAATAAATTATTATCTATATGCTAAATAATTTATTATTATATTATATTTAGTCTGTTTTGAGTAATACCCGCATTACAAAAACATAATATCAATATAAAGTAAATCATTTGAAAATAAAACATAAAAAGATTAAATTTTGTATAATTTTTTTAGGTGTGAGATAAATATTGAGGATTACTTGTTGGCAAATATTTACTAACAATTTATCAAAAAAAAATATTTTATATATTATGTACCGAATATAAGTACTTACAGCTATTTTTTTGTTAATATTTGCAAAAACAAAATTTGGTTTATTTTCCACAACACAGACATTCAATTAATTAGTTTAGAAACTCATTTTTGCTATAATTAAAAAAAATCTTTGCCTTTAGTAGTTATATAAAATAATACTACTGATAGTACTGTTAGTATAATTGTAATTAAGTGTATATTTTGCTGACTTTGAGTCAAACTTACAATTTTATGCATGAAATAAATTGTTAAAAATTAAATCAATTAATATTTGTATAATACTCCAATTTCCTAACAAAACTGAAAACATTTAAATTAATCAATATGATTGCTTTTACCTAAAATAATTTACTAAAATTATATTTGTAAAAATTTGTGAGATGAGATTTTATGATATTAAGTAAATAAATGTTGAATTTTCATGTTTATATTTTTAAAATTTTTAAATGATCAACAAAAACGTGAAATGGGAAATGTGGGAATCCCACGTCAGTCCCAAAATGTGGGATTTCAAAATTCACGATTTATTTGAACAGTCACAATTATCAATCAATATTAATTTATAATATATATTATTATTTTTAATTATTTATTATTTTTTAAATATATAAATGTATATTAAAGCTAGTTTAATAAGCAATGATTTAATTTATGCAAACATCAAACTTAATGAAACTATAGAATACTTTAAATAGCAATTAATCAAATGGCAAATTGTTTGAATATATAAAAATACAGTAAATATACAATTGAAATAAATTATAATTGTTATGAGTTTCTTGTTTTAGTCTATTGTTTAATAATATAATTGAATGTTTACCTAAATTGGATGGATATTATCTGTACACAACTCAACAAAAACATAACAAAATCATAACATAATTAGTTTACAACACACACACAAACATAGGAATTAATAATGTATTCAATAAATTATATACAGTTAGATCTCATTTGTCGCACTTATATTAAATTCATTATTTATGTGATATTTATTTTATTTTACTAACTTTATAGTAAATAATTTATTTTTTAAAATTGAATATTAAATCTTAACTCAATTATGTTGAAAAAAAATATTATACTGATCAATACATTATATAACCGAGAGCTTAATGTTTGAAAATAACACATTAGATAAGCCAATGTTGAGGGTTTAGTAGCAGAAAAACGGGGTTTTAAGTAGTGGTAGTAGTCGTGGACTATACATGTAAATGAAACTACTTTTGTGTATGTAATAGTGTACTGTATATATAGTACTATACAATATATTTGTATATACGGTATACAGTATAAGGTAATGTATTTTAATGATAATATTAGTGTGTAATATGTCTTCTGTATAAAACGTGTCATTTATGTTGTTAAATGACTTACTTTTAACGGCATCACGACCTGCATCCACAACAAAGGCTATTGAAATAAATAGTGAGAATATTTCTTCCGTAGATCGGGTGCACCACTTCATCAGTCGGGAGACATCAAACACGGCATACAAGACAAGGAAGAATGTGTTCCACAACCCGACGCACGCATACATCGCGTAGAAGTCCAGCTGAAAGTCATCGCATATGTTATATATCACTATAAATATGATTAAAAATAATTGCATTCAAAACAAATATAAAATATTATTTATTATTTAAATACCTTTGATGTATAAGCAAATGGGAGCAGTGGTCATAATTATGACTAACGGCTGACCGCCTAAAAATGAAAATGAAAGTCCTCCTATTGTTTGACCAATTATGGCCTTTCGTATATCTATCCATTTAAATATTAAATATAATACATAAAGTTATATAAATTAATAATAATAATAAAAGTTATGATATAACACTAAATACTCTTATTAATTCAATAGCTGTGAGTAACTTAACAGTAAATTTATACTGTATTTGTGAAATCGTGTTAATCATATGCAATAAATAGATTAAAACAAAAACATATTATTAAGAGTATATTAATTGAGTGCTTACCACCTATTATAACACATTTTGAGAAACGTTTGATAAGTAGTGGTGAAGTGATAGACGAAAGTGTCATATAAGAGATTATAAGTGAATTAGCATTTTGTTTGAAAACACTAATAAATAATTTGAATAAAACTGTTTTATATACCGATTTTTCCCGACGTGTTGTTGTCATTAAGGACTCCAAAAGCAATTGTGGGTAAAATGCAGGCAAAGTATAGAAAGAAAATGGTTGATATAGTCTTGTGGATTGTCTTACGGCCCACAAAACCTATAAACAATAGACACAATTATATACATTTTAATTATAACAATCATTAAATCATTTTATCTGATATAAAATATTAATTTTATTGTTAAATAATTATTATAAAACACTAAATACCGTCAATATAATCGCTTATATAATGTGAGACTCGTCTCTTGAGATCCTCACACAATCCCTGAGCAAATCGACATCTTGGCTCCTGTTTTGACCATAAATACAACATTTTGTTTATAAAAATCCATATTTTATTAATAAAAAAATTATTGTAAACCTAATGTATAATATATGTCATTATTTAGTTAAATAAATAATATTAACATTATGCCAATTTATGTGTTACAATTAACTATCCGATTATAACTATATATAATGTTATATTAATTTGTCTTTTTATTGTTAAGTTAAATACGATATATTTTGCTAATAGTATAATAAAAGTATAAAGTATACAATTGTATTGTACATAATAGGTACTACCTATACAATGGTAAAGCGTTTAAAAGTAAACTTCATATACAGTAGTTTGCAGTTCATTGCAACCAAAAGCATACTTAACAGCATTGCATTTAAGTAAACCACAAACAAAACTTAAATATCTTATTTTAATAGCAAAATAATTAAACGTTTACATAAATAATAGTACAAATTATATGTATAAATTATTGAGATACATAATAAATAATTTTAAACATAACAGAAATAAAATGTAAAAACATTATAATTTGTTTATTTTGTGTATAATCAATGTCATAGCCATTCATTGATTTAATATAAAATTTGCAACTTTTGGCAAAATTTGGTGTTTGTCTCAGCACTTATACAAAGATTTGATTCACACATTATCTAACAAATTGTCGCAAACATTGTATGTGTGCTTTGAGTGTCAAAGATAGTGCTTATATTATATACGTAAACCAATGGTATATTAGACAACTGGTATTTTATACAATAAGCGCAAACTATTTTCAATCTGTTAAGTTGTTAGGCATTAAAAATAAGTATATAAAATATTTTCATTGACACTATTGGCACATAATATGACATTATTATTATTTTATATATTTGTTAACAAGCATTCACAGTCCAATAACCTATATCTTTGTATACACTTTACTATTATATGATGTCACTTATCTAATACATGACTTATTTTAATATATGATATAATACATCATTTATGTCTATATAAATCATTGGTGTCCACCAAATGATTATAACATTTGACTGTAACGCTATTATTTGCTATCATATTTCAATAATGATACAATATAGCCATAAATATTTTTATTAATTGTTTTTAAATATGTTATACCTGTATAATATATTTTATAACCTTTAAATCACCTTTTAATTAATATGTTAATATAATTTACATCTTCATTATAATAATTATTGTTTTAAATACAATTATTTAAATTTTATTTGTTATTTATGATTCAATTCATTTGTTTTGAAGTTTATACAAAAATAAAGGAAACAATTATTGCTTTTAATTTGATATAATTTTATGTTTTAAGAGAATAAATGCTATTATAATTATATAAATACTATAATTGTATTATTATTATTATTGTTTAATTATAATAATGTTATACAACTGACCTCATACTGCATAACGTAAGAGAAGATCAAATAAATTACAATTTAAAGATTCATTAAATATTTTTGTATTTCATTGATGTCTATCCCAAAGCATTTTTGTAATGCCTTTATTAACAAAGAAATAGTATATACAATGAGTATATGAGTACATATAGTATATGCAATGTTGCATATATTGATTGTAATTGAAAGCGAGCGGCAATTCATTCAATCATAAAACTCTTTTGGTATGAGTTTTGCACGAAATCCAAGACATGTTTGCAAAAAATACATTCATTATATATTATAACAACCTTTTGCTTATCAATAATATCTTTGTTTAGCTTAAAATTTTCAGTAAGTTTTTTTCTGAAAATATAATACAGTAGTTTAGTTTTGGAAATATTTTAACATTATTTGAATAACTTTTTTTTTATTTACAAATCAATTCGATATTTATAATGAGATATAGGATTAATACAATAATATGCAAACAAATTAATGACTGCAATACACAGTATGTGCAACACATAACATAAACTTTATACTAATATTTATGAATATAATTTTTGTTAATTTTTTGAAATAAGCTTTGTTTTAACATTATATGAGTTTATTGACTTTAAAAGTAAAATATAAGTACACATAGTGTTTATAATAAGTAGTATATTTACATAGAATTCTTAAACTAAACAACAAAAATATAAGTGAATCTCAAGAGAAATAATATAATTTAGTCTATATTTACATCACTTTACTGTAATTTTTAAGAGTAAATGAATTAATTAAAGATATTTGTAAACATAGAAACACAAACAAAATATAGTTTAAGTGTACTAAAAAAATAATATTATTTAAAAATTATTGATAATATAAAAATATAAAAAATTGTAAAAAAAAGTTTCTGGAAATTTTATTGGACAAATTTATATAGCATTTTTGTAAAAATACTTATAACATTATTTAGTCATTAATGTAATATAGTATAAATATACTCAAAGTCAATAATAAGAAATTTACTTGTAAAATTAAAAAATGCTATTTACTTAAAATTAATTATTTTGAAAAATTTATTAGATTTGTGGGGTCAGTGATACAAATAATTGTATTATCTTTTTGTAATTTAAATTTTAATATTAACCCACATTTCTTTATTTTATAATATAATCTTTATTTAATACAGTATTTATTTCATTGTAATTTATTAATATATAATTCATGTAAAATTATAGTCTCAATGAATGCATGACTGCATAAATTGGTTGCGGTTTATGTAAAATAAATACTTTACAGTATATGGTTTACCCCAAGTCCAGGACAGTGGTATTTTTGTTTACTTTTCCAACTTTTATTACTTAATTAAAATATATGAATAAACTACTGCATTTTATTTATAAAATATATACTGTACATATGATTTTATAAATAATGCTAAATATTGTACAGAAAATTATTTTTACATTATTAAATTTTTTGTATTATTAATATAAAAATTGGTAAAAATTATTAATTAATACTAAAATTAATAAACTCAGTAAATAAACTATTAAATATATATTAATTTTTCTTATCAGTTATTAAAACTACATTTTAATTGAATTTAATTCAAATGACTTGTAAGCGTACAGAAGTATTATTTGATAATAGTTTAGTTTATTAAACAATTATAGTGTATATTAATAGTACTAAAGTGTTGATTACCTCAAATTCAGGGTCCGGTTCATGATTTCCTAGACGTCGGGTTGGATTACTTTGTTCAGAAGCCAAGTCCTGCGCGTGTTTTAGAAGTATACCCTTAAACTCGACCTCTCCGTGAACGTCAAGTAGTCTCTGACGGAAATCCATGTCTGCAAATATGGTGGCAAATGTACGACCAGTTTCTAATGCATTCTTTGTTCCCTTCTGTCAATATATAGATATATATATTAATTGATAGTATTTTCAAATTTTTATTTTACTATTTATTTATTAATTTATATATTTTTGTTTTTATTAAAAGCCAGTACCTATTCAATGTTAAACTAATCTATATAAATATTTATATATACTGTACATTATACTTATATACAATATAAATAATATCTAAATAAAAAACATAGTACATCATACTATCATTAATGAAAAAATAAAAGTTACAATAAGTAATAAAATTGTAATAAAAATAATTTGTGAAATTGTTTCAAGTAATGCATTGCGGTATAGTATTAAATTGAAATTGTATTCAATTTACACAATCAATTAATTTCGTTACGATGTGACAGCAAACGACATGAATTGACCCAAAAAAAGTTACATTTTTTTAAAAACAAAATTTATATGCATTTCTTATAATACTATATTATATTACAGTATTATATTACTCTGATTTTTTCTGTCCCCTATCTTTCATTAATATATTATTTCCGATAATAAATTAATTTAATAATTATTATTTGTTAATTATTTTAATAATGAACAATATGTCACATAATTTAATATTATATTTTGTGTTTATTCTAAATGTGCTAATAATAATTCATAATATGATTGAATTTGTGATGAAAAATAGATAAAACAAGTTTCTCATTAAATAAGATAAAAGAAATGATAAAAAAATCAAAGTCAATATTAAGGAAATAGATCTCTGGGTTTGTTATTAGGAGTTATAAGGAATTAATGTAAGTCTTGGTTGATATATAGATGTGAGTGTAAGGAAAGGGAGTTCAAGAGTATGAGGAAACAACATAACAATTGTATGTAAGGATGGTATGGATGGTGTCATTGATGTCATAGTTATTTGTGGCCATTCATTGCTAACCTATCAATGCGTAAAATCTTTGTTCACTTTTTTATATTTTAAGTTTATTACTATATTATTTGGTTGTTTACGTCACTTATAAAAAGAAAATTTATTATTTTGAAAAAACTATTTAAATTAAAATCATTGTCATTCATATAAACTAAATGATAGACAGCTTTGATATATTGGGTAACACAGTATATATGTTAAGCGCAGGGCATAAACATTGACACAAGCAATGGTAACTAATCATTGATTTATTGATTGTCGAAGTCTTTGGCTTCACATTGCCATCTGAGACCAGTTTTTTGATAAATAATCCAAAACTAAAAGTAAATTGTTTTTTACTCTCAAAAATTTCTATAAAACATGACAACAATAAAAGTGTTTTATTTTCTATAACAAAACAATCAAACACTAGATTTCAATGTTTTGAGTAAAAGTCGTTTGAATACAAAAAATCGATTAATAACTGCAATGAAAAAAGTTTAGACAAAAATATTTATAAAATAAATCTCATGAGCAAAACGGCAGACCAAACACTCATTTTTATGGTTCAGATGTCATATTGTTGTCGACACTCACTAAATAAAGTTTATCAATGAATCCACTATACTATAGTTAATGCATTTTTACTAAATTATATTTTATTATTATTTTTTCTATCAAATTATAAAAAAAAACTTTTGACTATTTTATACTATGAGTGTGAGAGAAAAAGCGCTGAAAAATCTGTCATTTAATATCTAATAGTTGTGACGTTAATAATAGCCAAGTGAAGTGTATTATTATATTTTATTATATTATAGTATTTTTTATAGTATAAATTGATATATTAAATGATGATACGGTTGTCATGTATTAAACAGAATACACACACTATGTTATTGAATGATTTTTATGTGTAAACTTGAAAAATATTAACAAAATTAAAGGATACACTCTTTATATGAAAATGTTTTTGAAAATGAATGATATATTCATTATATATCAAATTATAGTCAATATAATAATACGATAGAGTATTAAAATATTTGATTTAAATATAAAGCTAAAGAGGTCTTTCATTTGCTCTATTATTATATAGTTATATACAAAACATATAATAAATAACAGTTCACTTTAAAGGCAAGTAAATAAATATTTATATATTCACTCTTTCATATGAAATGAATCACTAAAACATTACAAATATTGTATTGTAAATATTATAATGATATGCTGTAAATTAAAATAATACTTAAATTCAAGTTTTAAATAAAATATTATTATTGTAAAAATAAAATAAATATAGCAAATATATAATAAACATGCTTTAATAATTGTTAACAAATATACATTACTCATGATAATTAATGTAATTAATAATTACACATTTATTATTTAATATATAAGCAAATAATATATATAAATATATATATATATATATTATGATTGAGAACATACCTCTTTGCTAGGGGTGACCACTAGTATAAAGAATCGGACTTCATGTGAGTTTCGCCCCATATTTGCCGCGTGTTTGAGTCGCGCTATTGCCACGTGTCGTTTAGCCAGTGATGGCAAACTACACCTAATTTTGAATCATTTATAAAAACTTTATCAAATTGTAAATATTAAGTTAATAAGTAATAATAATAATATAATTATAAATACTTGGTAAACATTTTTATTAAAAATACTGTATTATATAAATTATATATAATTATAATACAATTATAATTAGTTGTAAATAAATCTGGTATCAAAAATTTGTCAATATTTTAAAGTAAAAATACATACTTTTTATTAAAACGAATAAATACTATTAATTTAAACTATATTTAAATTTTCTAAAATACATAAATTTTTGATGTAATAGCAAAACTTTAGTTTTGTTATAAAAGATATATTAAGTAATATAATAAATATGTACACAATTATTCAGACATTTTAATTAATAAATATATTAAAAATCACTGACAATATTAATAATATTATACTAAACTATAGGTAATTTTTCTATAATTTATATTAAAAATCTTAACATTTGCCAGCAATAACTTTATTTTATAATTATTATGTTTTTGAAAATTATGTGAAAAATTATTACTAAAATTATAAAATATTAACTTTTAGAAATTGTTTTAAAAATTTAACTTTATATGTTATAATTAAATTACTAATGATATTGAATTATTAGTTTGTCATCTAAATTTGAATTTTATCAAAACTATGATTAAATTTTTTTAAAAATTAGACAAATAGTAACAATTGGACTTACATTGCGCATAGCCATGACTGGTCGTAATCAAATCCTCCGCCATCACTGATATACGTGCCTTGTATTGTACGCGCAAGCAATTGAACTGATGGCATAATATATGCATATAAATAGTCAACAATTGATGCATACTTTTGATTAAAGTGATGATTATGTCATTGAAATAACTAAAATAGTTATCAATTATACAAACCTGAGTCGTGTGTAAATATTGCTGTCTTTGCCTCTTTAAGTGTGGCCAATGGTTCGCGTCCATCAATAACCTGATAATTAATAATACCATCAATATATCAATAAAAGACATTTAAATTACTGAGTTACACATTGTATTTAATATAATAATTATTGTTATTATAATTCATACATCATTTTTTATATCGATATCTAAATATTAATCTTATTTTAAATATTACTTTAATTAATTTTATTTTATAATAATATAATTAATATGCCGACAATCCCTATATACTCATTATAAAATTTTTAATTAAACAATTTTGTTAAATTCTACATAAAAATGATGTACTGTAAATGAATTTGTATATAAATTAATTGGTAAAACCATTGTTGAATCATTTTTTTATTTACACTGTTAATAGAAAATTCATTTAATATAGAGATGACTGACTTATTGACGATATGATAGAGAGATTCTAAGAGAATATAAGGATTGATGACGAGATTGATGTTTCAAATATCTCATAAATATTATAGATATCAATGATATCAATATATCCAACTGAGAGAACATTAGGTTGAAGTTATATAAAAGAAAAATTGAGATAAAGTAAAAATCTCAGTGTGTTTTGCATATATATAGAAAAATATTATATATAAGTGTTGTTATAGTAGTTTGCAAACAAAACTATAGAAAATGGAGTATATATTATATACAATATTACATATTAGACAGTATATAATGGGGATATTCATTGAATGTAATGTTAGACAAGTGATAGATACTGAATGTTATTGCCTGACATATAGAGGTCAAGCAATAAGACTTAAGCATTACATTCAATAAATGGATTGAAGAACTATTGCTATAAATTATGCCGTTTTTCACAATCAATATCTCAATATCATATAAAATACATGCAATACATGACTATTTGAGACTTATTGCCGTTTCCTTTATTTCTATTGTCGAATCAATCATTTACATCAAAAACTGCTTTCCAACGCTTCTCTACTACAATCTCTCACTTCTCAACCTCCCTGTGCTCTCATTTTTCTTATTAAAACTCGTCTCTTACTAATCGATATTAAGAAGTTCTCAACAAATTTATTTTTATTAATATAACAATTGTTCATAAAATTCAATATTGATTTTTCTATTATTATATAGTATTTCTCTTTAGTTTTTTCTTCGCTAATATTTTGTAGTTTTGTATCTCTTATTCATTCATTCTTCAACAGACAGTAAGACACATACATTTTATACAAAATTTTATTTAATTTTTTGTCTCAATATTTTTTTGTGTACTACAAGTGCTTATAAATGTCAAACTTTCGGTCAATAATATGGTGTTTCAAGTCTAGAGATAAGTATTTTATTAAACAATATTTGTTGTGCGGTCTCGAGTGTTGTCCATTACTATACAATAAATCACAATAGCTTTATAAAGTTAAATCAAGTTATAGAAAACAAACAAAAATGATTACAATAGAAAATATATTTATGTAAATACTTACAAATATAAAAACTATTGAACAAAAAATAATATATTATAAGTGATGCTTATGATTGCTATTATATTTAGATCATACAACTCATACAATTGTGTCAAATTGATTAATAGATAAATTATATAAGTTAACATTAAATAAGCTAGATAAGTTCACTATATAAAATATATTTATTAAAAAATTAACTAGCTTATTTAATGTTAGAATATCACCTATGAATCAATTTGCCACAATTGTATTATTTGTATGGTTCAGATTGATGTTTATTATCACACTATTAAACAATGAATACATTTTGTATGATAATGACTATAGTGTATAACTTATTTAAATGTTATCAATTTCTTTATATAAAACACAAAATAGTAATTTGTGTATTATAAAAACCTATATCTACTGTATAATTGACAAAAAAACATTATAAAACTTATTATCCATTTTTTATGAAGTTTATCAAAAAAAAACTTTTTAAATGAAATATTAATATATTATTATAGTTTTTAATACAAAAACAAATATATAGTTAATACCAAATAAAGATGAGTTGGGTTTGAGACTAGTGTTTGAGGGATCGACCCCTTTGGCAAAAAAACTAGTTAATCGTTTACTCGCAAAACAATATACTATTGACGACTCATTTCAACGTTTGTTAGTTTTTGTTATTTTTTCGCTAACTTTGAGAACAATATCTCTTTTTTATTTCTTTTTTTATTATTATATAAAATACATCTATAGAGCGGAAAAAACTTAAAACTAACTCAAATGACTTACTAAGTCTAACTGTAATTTATATTTATTTTGAAAATATTGAGTAGATTTTATTTTTTTGAATAATAGGATCACTGATCACTAGTTTATCTATTTGTCATACACTTTGTCACTTACAGTGTGTGATAAACAATGTCACGGCTTTGAAACTTTGACCAGAAGTGAGTTTATCACCAAATGATAGATAATAAAAGTGAAACCTAAAAGTCTGTTCTTTAAATGTGATATATATAACTCAAGTATCATATATTATATGATATATATATATAGCAAAAGTGTGAAAATAAAAGTATTGACAAACTTTTCATTCAATAATATAATGTCTGTATATAAGAAAATAGTGATCATTGAATGAAAACTTTTCGGTCAATCGACCAGAAGTGTTACCATTTCTTGCAATAGACAACTATTTATTGATTAAAGTAAATACAATATATTTATTATTGTCATCAATGCCTTTCACTCATTCACCCGCTAATAGTTATGACTTTCCATCTTTGATGGGGTGAAAATAAATTAAAATAAATTAATACTATTTGTTATAATTTTCAGTCCAAAGAACTTCCAATATTTAAGACATTTGTCATCTTTTTTCATAATAAACGACATTATTTGTATATTTATAATATACAACTTATTTATTATATGCTTATAATATTGATTTTAATTAAGATTATTTTTATGAGTTTTATATAATATTATTTATGCATAAATTCTTATATTAAAATTTTAATAATAATAATGATTTTCTTAATAATTCTACGAATACATTATATCTAAGAAAAGGATTTAAAGACTAAATTAAAATCAATTATATTTTAAAAGCTTATTTAATTTACAAAATACTTTTCTTTGGGTAATCTTTGTATTGAATAAATAAATAAATGTAAAAATAATTATTAATTTGTAAAAAAGTTAGTTTAGTTAAAAACATTTTCATCTTTAAGTCGATATATTAATATGTAAGACTTTGACTCAAAATACATTACATTAAAGTATTGATTTAAAGTATTTCCTAAATTTATAATACAGTATAGTTTGATGAATACGTTTGCCATTCACTTACTTTTTATATTACATATTCAAGTAATCAATACTTTTTGTATTCTCGACTTAAAAACCCATTTTCTATTTATTCTTGCAATAAGTTAAAGACAGATCTAAAAACTTTAAAATATATTATATATACAAAAAAACATAACTATATGTAATATTTGTTGTGTATAATGGATATACTGTAGATAAAATATTTTACTATATTTATTCAGTTATAATAAGATTTGGAGCTCAATGAGTACAAGGTCTTCAAAATTTACTATTTTGTGAATAATTGATAATTTGTAACAAAATTTTTTCTACTACTTTGTTGCTAAAAAATAAGGTATTTTAAAATGCTTTTATTATATTCTTTTAATAGTTAACGCTGTCTTATGATATATTTTGCATTTTAGTTAATAGGCTCTAATAATAATAATGTTTTACCGTTTACCCTCACAAATAATTATAACTAAAAATAACATTAACTTATTTATATTTTTTAATTTTAATGTTGATTTTAAAATTTACAATTAATTTGAGTTTTTGAGTTATGCTTTTAATGGATAGTTAGTTTATTATACAAAGCACATAATAACTAATTGTTAATTAGCTTAATAGTTCAAAAGTTACTAAACAAAAATATAAATTTTATTACTAAAATAACAAAAATTTATAACTTAAAAAATACTCCTTAAAAACATAATATTTTTTTGATGTTATTAAGTTTAGACTTATGAAAACACCAAACAGAATATTTGGTATGAAAATGAAATTATATTATTTTTCCCAAAACAACTTTTTATACAAATATTTTTTAGAGACAAAAATTGTCAATTTTTATTATTTTTAATAATTGAAAATAATTTTATTTATAAATTTTAAAGAATACTTTTTATGTTTAGATTTATTAATTTTCTATTAGAATTTGTTGTAATTTTATGAGACTATTTGTTAACCTAATGTATGCCCGAAGCCTTAAAAATTACTTTACAATTGAGTGGATAAATCTATATTACATCAAAATATGAGTACATAAGTAGATATCATTTTGATTTGAATGTAATATTATTTTTTTATTTAAAATTTTAAAATATTTTGAGTAAAAATTTATTTAATTTATATAACTTAATAAAAATTATATCATTTTGTTAAATATAAAATTTTTTATATATGTTTTATTTAAATGTCATAAAAATCAAAATTGTAATCATAAACAAAATATTCTATAAGTAACAAAATCAACAAAATAACATTTAATATTTTTTAATCTTAATATTTACTAAAAGGAGAAGATTTTACTGGAAAACGGTATTTATTAGTCGTTTGAGTGAATATAAGAAATATCTAAACTTCAAAATTTCTATTTTGTATTCAAAAAATAATAGAGTTTTACTACAAAATAGATATATATATATAAATAGTGAATTCAACAGAAAAATTGATTTCTTAATGGATTAACATTTTTCTCTATCTTTTTACTATTACTTTATATTAAAACTCTTAATGTTTTGATTAAGTCTATATTGACATTGATTTGTAAAATAAGTAATAAACTGATTATTTGTTAAACATTTTTTTAAAAATCCACAAAATATATTATATAACTACAACACAATTCATATATAGTACATCTCATTAGTTGTACAATAAAAATAAGTTATGTCTCATTTTGATAATCTTATTATTTAAGTTATATATTTATTTGTGAATCATATAAAAACTAATAAAAATAATTTAATATTGACTTGAAATATAACATTGATAATTGTTAAATATAAATAAATATTATCAATATATATATGATGTAGATGTAATAGTACATGTTAGTAATCGATATTATATGATAATTACAAAAAATATTTTATTAAATATTAATAAATCTAGTTACGTGATATATGTAAAATTAATTAATTTTTTAATGTTGTTCAAATAAATATCATAAACTATTTAGTAATATATCAAATGTCTAACCCAAACACCGACTTTTTGTACGGCTTAAAGCACTGGTATGTCTATGAATGCAATTTATGCGGATGAAAGTACTAACAATGTCAGTGATTACCGAAACACTATGTATTTGCATTAATATAATGTGTGCATCACTTTAAAAATCCTAATAAACATATTATTAATGTTTAATTAATATATATATATATATATATATATATATATTCAATATATAGTATCTAACTATTAAAAACTTACTAAAAATGTTTCTATTAGTCTAAATCTATATAACACTGGTTATCAATTAGACAAAAAAAAATAATTTTTGATAAAAATGCATTACTAAGCTTATTGTGTGCTATAATATACTTAATTTGATCAAGCTCAAATAAACTGTTACTATTTAATATTTTCTGATTCCTTAATATAAATATTTAATTATTAGTATTTTGTTATATTCGGAGTTAATTGTGTTGTGTAAGAGAGGGATAAATTATATTTTATTTTAAAAACAATACAAAAAATATAATTAATTTAATATGTATTACAAACAAATATATTGAAATAATATTTTTACTAAAATTGCGTCTTTTAAGAAAAATTTTGTTTGTATACCAATACCATTTTGATTATCAAATTGTATACCAATTTGATATATATTTATATCATTCAAATATATCATCAAATTCACTTATTATAAGTAATAATTTATAAATATTGCAAAAATGACTACTAAACTATAATTAATATAAAATAATAATATAAATATTTTTAATCACAATGTAAGCAAAATGTCACATTTTAAAAATGTATTTCTATAAAAATTAAAAATGATAAAATTATAAAATAAATTTCAAATTCTTAAGTAATATATGGCATCTAATTTCTAAAAAAGATAATTTATTAAAATGAATATTTGTTTGTAAGATAATATTGAACTAAATATTATAAGTATACATTAATAAGTTATTTGGAATTTATTATATATTTTATAATTTGTAGTTTTCATAAAATTTTAGTTTTAATTTGTACAATTGGACATCAATATTTTTAGTTCAACTATTATGATTATAGACATTAAGTCTGCTAACTTTGGTTATATTATAAGTGTATTATTAATTTGTTAATTTTAATTTTAATCACAAAATACGTTTTTAAAATTAAGGACAATTTTTTGATAAGGACTGCTATTTAAGTTAACAAAATTAATTTTCATAAAATATGTCTATATTGAGAAGTAAATGTCGATACAGTTAATATTTAATAAAACAATTAATTTAATCTGTATTTTGTTAAATAAATAAAATTAGAAATCAATTAAAAATATTTGAAAACTAAAAATTTCTTTTTTATTAAGTGATACTTAATTAAACTAAAACAATAATAATATAATACAAATAATTTGATAAATTTATGCAATTTTATTCAATTAGTAATTACTTTGTATACTTTATATTAAGTAAACATAATATTAGAATAATATAATTATTAAAAATTAAAATTTTCTCGAAAATAAAACTTATATTATAATTTTTGATTCACAATTTTTTATATACTAAGTGAATTTTATTATCATAAAAATCTATTTATCAAAAGTATTATAGAATATAATATAACTATATTTAGTATAATCTACTGTATATAGATTTATATAAAAATTTATGATAATTAAATATGAAATAACATAACTTGTGGTCATTGTTTAAAGTGATTTATGTTAAAAAATTAAATTAAAAAATATTAAATAATTTTTTTCCTAGAAATATGAATTACTTGAATTACAGATAAAAAATACAATGATTTGTCATTAATATACAAAAATCATATCTTTGGCTCAAATTTTAATTATTATTAAATACTTAATTTAATTAATTATTTGCTGCTATAGCTACATAAAAAATAATAAGAAATTATATTTAATAATAAATAAATTTATTGAAAATTATATCAAATATAGTAATATTGTGTTTTCATTAACTAAACTCTTGCCTATTAATTATAATGACATTGATTTTCATTATTTTTACTTTTCTATATATTTCTAGGAATTTTCTGATCCATAATACTTTATAAGTTATACCTCCACTCTTTGTTTATATGTTATGATTGCTAAAGATATACTAATATAAATTATATTAATAAATAACTATAATTACATTAATTTTCTTTTTAAAAATATATAATCTTACAAGTATTGCTAACAATTAATACAATATATAATTCTCAAAACAAAATTTCTATGAATTTTGATATCGATCTACAATATAATCTATATATATATATATATATATATATATATATATATATATATATATATATATTATTTATGAATCCATTATATTATATCTTTTATAACTCTTTAGTATTTCTGTGAAATACATGTTTCAAATGTCTGGAAATTATCACATCAAACATTTCTTATATAATATTAATAATCATAACCAGTTACTCTATAAAATAGGATTTAGAAATACAATTTTAATTTAACAAAATGTGTAAAAATGTTCATTTTTTAGAAAAATTTCAGAAATTTATGAGAAATTATTTATTTAAATATTAATTATAAATATAATCTATATAAATATTAAGAATTCAATAAAGTTTGATATAAAAAATAATAATTTTTAACCTGAATAAAATAAAACAAATATAATTAATGATAAAAATACAATATATTTAAAGTTCATTATATTTTAATAAATTATTTCATCAGAGTATACAGATATATATAAATTAATAAATTATATTTAAAACTCAATTAAATTTTGTTTGACGCTATTAATTTAGTAAATTTCAATTTAGTAAAGTCATTTGTATTAATATTTAATAATTTAATAATTTAATAATTTAATAATTTAAAATTTTATATTATTAAGATTAACAGTTTTCTATAAATTCTAAATATGATATATAAAAACATATAAAACAAATTAATTATGATCTATAAAATGAGTTTAATGTTTAAATTAAAAATTTTTATTATTACTTTTTCTATATAATTAAATATATGGCTAGAAAAGTAAGAGTTTCCTATTTTATTAAGACTTATAATTATAACATGTGTTATCTATTGTCTTAAACAAAAGTCAGTTAAAATAATAGCTGTTTTATGCGTTAATTTTTTAACATTATTTTATTGGTTTGCAATTATCTCAAAGATCTAGAAAATTGTATCGAGAAAAAAGTGGATTTTATTTTTTTAGAGGGAGAAAACACATAAATAATCATAAAATAAAAATTAAAACTTAATGAAATCATAAGTAACTTATATTTTAAATAATTTTCTATTTTTTAAAAATTGGTTAGTCATAGAAATATAGTAATTAATATTAATTCCAATTAATTTTACATGAGATTAGTATAATTCCCATATTTATTAGTATTAAACGATTTTATTAGAATTATTTTCAAAAATTTCTCTATTTTTATAGATATTGTATATAAAATATTATTATTTGTCAATCTATCTATACTTTGTTTAGATATCACTTTTATTATATCCTATTTATTACATTACATCTCGTAATGCATCAAAAATAATATCAAAGTAATTCCGATATTACTCTTAAAAATGTTGAAATTTTTGTAACTAAATAGTTTACTTAAACATCAATAGTATTTGTCACAAAATGATAAATTTGTTAAAAAATAAAAATATTGTTTTTAATAATTCATTTTTAGTTATTTCAATAAAATAAAATTTTAATTTAATATTCATAGTTTTAAATTTTGCTTTTATTTTTTTCTATAAACAAAATAAGTGAAAATATTTTACGAGTGAATTATTTTTTGAATCATATATTAATAAAACTTTACTTCAAAATTGAAATCAATATATTTAAATTTATTTGATTTTTTTTATCTCGGTTTTCAAATATTTTTTAATTTTAATTTCATAAATAATATTAAAATAATATTCTACATATATTTAAACAGATATTTAGCTAACATTAATCAAATAATTAGTAAAAATAACTTAAGAAAATAAGAAATAATAGAATAAATTATTTTAATTTAGTATTTTTATGTATAATTATATAATTAATTTTTGTTCATTGTTATAAAATAAAATATAGATGATATCAATAAAAATATTGTATATATATAAATTTAACTATATAATACAAATATATATATATTTATAGTAATAATTTTTACATGTGTTTATTAAATTGTATATATTTTGTAATTATTTATATTATTTAATTGTAATATTTAACCGAATCATGTCTTGATAAATATTTATAATAAAATAAACAAAATTTAATTTTTTTTTTATTTTTTAAATTATAAATATTTTCAATATATTTATTGAAATCTCTGTAAGCAATAAAACTAGCAAATCGTTAAAATTTCTTATTGAGCGCTTCAGTGAAAATATAAGCATTAAACTAAAATACTGAATGAAAATAAATCTTTAATAATATATAATGTCTTTATTTGAAAATGGATTACAAAGTCATGACTACTAAAAGTCTAAAATAAAAATATCAAAAGTTGTTTATTTCATAGCATAGGCTTTTATATTATAAATATTGATTTAATTTTTGTTGAAATAAACATTAAAATAGTATAAAATATTAAAGATTTAGATTTAATGAATAATATGATATTAATTTAATAAAATTTTATTATAATAACTATTAGTTTTTATTGAAGATAAAAAGTTTTTCTTAATGCATAACAATTGAAATCAAACTAAAGTACAAACCTTTCGGAGCATTTTGTCGACAATGCCGTCGAGTGAAGTCTCGGTGACGTCGAGTAATAGGACAGCCTGTTGTAGGAACTGATCCACGTCCATCGATGCTCTCACTTCAGCCCCGAAGTCCTTCATCGGTAATCTCTGGAAAGATGAGTGCATTAACATTATTTCGGGAATAATCCGAGAATCACGACGACTGCATTCGCCATAAAGTGAAGAGCCATCGATGCCTGCATTTGTCAAACTTATCAACACTTGTGATGCCCGACGTATTGGTCCCGCAAACCGCTGGTCCCATGATTTACGACGACCTAAGCCCGTGTTAGACGAAGCTCGGCGTCGGTTAGTTGTCTGAGAGGGCATCACTGATACCATAGAACTAGTGGACGAACTTATAGATTGTGGCGCTCTTTGTATATTAATTCTAACCGGAGTTTCTCCGGTCGGCTGATAACTGATTGGTTCTGTACTCGACACAGATGTGTCGTTATTAACACTTAGACGTGAAGAAGTGGCACTAATTAGAGAAGTAGTTACCGTTGCTTTAGGATCTGTCTCATCATTACTAATGGTTTGGTGTTTATGTGCGGAGGAGTCGAGGGCTGCCAGTGCTAGTGAATGAAGGGAATTGACCGGTGATTTCGACTCCATTGACTTAACACTGTTAGCAAAAGAGGTCGTCTCCACACATGTAAGAGTCATAGAGACACACAAACGGGTCTAAAGATTTGGGACCCGACTCTCAGGCACTAACAGTCATACAATCATTAAATTATATAATCATTCAATAATTAATTTATCGATTGCTTGTAAATCGCGTCTAAAATACAAAGTAATAACAATAATAGAAATTTACACAAAAATAAGATTTTAAATCGATTTCATTTATTGACGACTAAACACATTACTCTTTGAAATATAAAAAATATTACTTTTTCACGACATCAGCAAACGATATATCGTTTAGTAATATACAGTATATTAGGTTCAGCAAAATTACAACACATTTATTATGAAATATTTTAATGTCATTAACAATCATTCAATACAACAATTTTGAGATAATTTGAATGCATTAATAAATATTTTTTTATATTTATTATATAGACAGACAATAAAATTTAAATAATAGTCATAACATTTCCATAGTTAACAATATTTATATAATGGAGTCAACCATACGAATTGTATTTTCAGATTTTCAGATATATTTTTTTGAGCACAACTTATAGTCCACTCTATAACAAACAAATACTTAAACAACAAAAGCATATGTAATAAAATTATAGTTTTTCAAACACTCTTATAAAGTAATAGACAGACATAAAGATTTAAGTTAATAAATATAACTTTATACAGTATATAATACTGTGTTTGTATATATATATTTATTAATACTTAAAAAGTCAATATAAATAAAATGTTGTCTTTATGTTTTATACAATATATATGTAGACTTTTAACAAAAAATATACACTATTAGTATGTATATCAGCACACATTTAGTCGTGTAGTTTTGAGTGACAGTTGAGAAGTAAATTGAAAAGAGTAGAGTATAGAGGATATGATGGGAAAAATAAAGAGTGAATGGTGTGTCCAGTATTAGTACAAAAACAAATATTATATAATATATATATATTTATAACTAAAAAAATGTTGAGCACAACATATATATATATATGTTTGTAGTGTTTGAAGCGTCGACTGTCAGCACAAGTGGTTGTTTGTGATCTATCACTACATTTCTTGTCTTTATGTCTCTCTCTCCCTCTCTCTCTCTCTCTCTCTATATATATATATATATATATCTCCCTCTCTCTTCCTCTCTCTCTCTCTTTCTCTCTTCCTTTACAACACTTTTTCACTGATTTTCAGTCATCGAGAGTACAGACGACTCTCCGAGCAATTCTCGATTGTCTCTCATATTGTCTGTCTTTCATTGAATTTTTGTTGCATTTCATGCATTTGCAGAATATTCTGTATTTTCTACGACACTGTAAGTGCTTTCCTACATCACTGTACTGTTACTCACTCTATGGTATCCGATCTAAGCATCCAAAACGCCTGCGCTTACAATACATATAAACAGTGTGTATATATGTTACACAACTGACCGACTAAAGAGCCGATTCTTGCTGTATGAATGTCTGTCTTACAAATCGTAGTAAAAATTCGTAGTGTTTTGAGACACAATTTTTTTCTACATTTTATTGAACTAATACAACAACAATAACAACAACAAACTTAGCTATATTTGACTATTCTTTTCTCTATAACTTTAGTTATTTTGTATCTTTTATTTCAATCACTCTATTTCTAAACCATTTATCTCTTTATATATTTTTACAATTTTTTTGTTAGTATTTTGTCATAAAATACTTTTTAGTCCGCTTTTATATTTTATAATAAGCGATAAGAATTTGTGTCTCATTTTCTTTTTTATACATAATTTAAGCAATTTTACCAAAAAAATTGTCACTTATTTTTCTTCTATTTTACAAAATATATACTATTTTTTATCAATGGATAAATGATTCAATCAATAATTGAATAATTTTTACAAACATTTAAATGTTTTTTATTTAGTATGATATAATGTGCGTTAAAAATAAGAAAAGAATTTTTTAAATATAATTTTATGATAAGTATAGATTGCCAAATGAAAATTTCTAATAAACTTCACTGAGAAAATTTCTAGTAAATTTTTCAAGAATAAATTTCTATAGATTCTACTTTAGTATTATACTATGGGATCCCCATATCTATAGCCATAATACATAATGCATATATTAAATACTATACACTACTCTACTACACAAATGGGATCCTTATATATAAAATAATTATAATCATAGTTTTTTGTAAAAGTTTTATTCATTATTTAATTATAATTTAAGTTAAATATAATTAAATAGATTGTTTTTTTTTAATTTTAATTGTTAATTTAAATACTAATAATAACATTTTATTATTCCTTTTAATTATAATGTATTGTAATAAGATTACAAATATGTGAATAAAAATATTAACATTAAGATCCCATAAACAGAATTTTCTTTTAGAAACTTTAAACTTTATATAAATTTCTTTTTTGTCAACACTAGTCTAGAGCTTTCAATATATAAAATTAATTCATTGATTTAATAGATCAACACTAACAAATTACAATATAACATATAAAATTATTTTATTATCTTATAAACTAACATAACTTTTATATTATATAAGCTTTAATTTTAATATAATAACAGTAAACATTTCAATTATATATATATGATATATTATAATAAGCATTAAAAATTTATTTACTAATTTATAAATATATTTTAATTATATTCACGTTAGATATATAAGTTGTATATAAAAAGATAAAGTATAATTAATTAATAAACCGAATAATAAGGTATGTTAGTTTATATCTGATTTTTTAAAAGCACCAATATTTGAAAACTCTAACAATATGCCATTTTGTGTCTTAAAATTGAAAATTTTACAGATATTTTAGATACAAATATTTAGTCATAAATCTATGATCTTGATATAATTATTATTTTTAACAAATAATTAATTAATTAATAACTTATTATAAATGGTTATTATTATTGTACATCAATATTGTTTTCTAATGCTCTTTACTGACTATTTTTTAAATATATTGATGTTTAAGTAAATTGCAAATTATTCATATCGTGTGTGGTATTACTAATATATATTATTTGTTTTACAAAAAATTTACTGTAATTGTGTGTGTGTTTAGTTGTAAAAAATATCACATATCACACACATCTCTAACATAACATTAGGAAACTGTCTAATAAGCGACTAATAAGTTGTTTAAGTAATAAAAATTTGAATGTTAGTTAGTTTTTTGAGTGTTTATACGTTAATGTTTTGAAATAAATTATTAATATTCAAAAAAATCAAGAGTCACAATAAAGTTTACAATTTATCAATATTTATTAGAAATAATATAATTAATGGTATGATTTTTGATAATTTTGTTTGTTTAAAAATTTATATAATGAGTAGTAAATCAAATAAATATATAATTTACAGATACTATTATATTTGGACTAAATATATTAATATAAATACAGTAATATTATATTGTCTTTTTTATTCAAGTGCTCAGTTAGATAAATAAGTTATAATCAGTACTGTTATATCTAAACCAAATGTACAGTATATCTCATCAACTAAACTAATATTTTCAGACAAGTAATGAGTTTTATTTATATATACAACTTATTTATAATAATATATATTTTTATTATTGTTGCATAAGTTAATTTATATCTTATTATATACAATATAAACATTATGTACACTATATACAGTATATATATATATAGCGTCTCTAAATTTTTTCTTTTACTTAAATTTGTCAATAATTATGAATTAAATTTCTATTTTTAATTTATCAAATAAAAATATATTATATACGGATTAAGATTATATGCATAAAAATTAAAACCGTAATTAAAAAGTTAATATAAATTAAATCAGTAAAAGTTGTAATTTTTAGCCATTAACTCATTAAATTAATATATTTTTCTAACTTATATTTAACTAATTAATGTTTGTAAAAATTAACTATTTATTAGTTTTTTGATTTTATTAGTTAATATCTTAAAAGTTTAGTTTAGATTTACACAACTGATATTCTATTATTAGTTACAGATTTATAAATTACAGTAATCTTACAAATTATATATTAGAAATAAAAAATAACATATTGAACATTGACTGGGATTTCAAGTAATTTATTTATCATTACATGCAATTTAACAAAATAACAAATAGTGTAAGATTAATGGACATTAAAAATTTGCTTTAGATATATGTAATAAGTATATTTGAAAATAACAAAACTAATAACTCATGTTTTGAAATATAATTGCATCAAAAAAACTAACTATTAGTGTGCAACCATTGGTATTAGATGAATGTATTTTTATTTTTTATATTTATTAAAAATTAAGAATTTCTGTGTATATATTTAATGTATGTGTATGTGTATGTGTATGTGTATGTGTATGTGTATGTGTATGTGTATGTGTATGTGTATGTGTATGTGTATGTGTATGTGTATGTGTATGTGTATGTGTATGTGTATGTGTATGTGTATGTGTATGTGTATGTGTATGTGTATGTGTATGTGTATGTGTATGTGTATGTGTATGTGTATGTGTATGTGTATGTCCGCCATTTTCTTATTAAATTGATTGTCATTTTTAGCCTTTTTTGATAAAAATAAAATCAATTTTGCAATCAATACTCAACATAATGTATATAATTGTTTAGTGTGTCTATGGATTCAATAAGAGGACAGTTCTTTATATACTATCCTTTATATAGGAGTTGAAGACAATATAAATGAGAAAAATGTTGAGAAGAAGTGGTGATCAGTTTGTATCGATTACTACACTAAACATTGGCTTTGGATTTAGATATTGGAGACGAAACTGATTGACACAACCACTGAAAGCTGTGTTTAGGTCAATGGGGTTCACAGACCACACTCCATGTGCTCACACAGTATCACAACAATCCATTGGACGACAACTTTATAGCTTATGGTGTTTTGCTGTCCTTTCAGTCAAAACCATTTTCCCATTAGTGTATATTATTTTATAACAGTTATCACATTTAACAGTAAAATAAAATAGTTTTAAAGTTTATAAGACTTTTCAATTAAATAAAATTATCGATAACTTAATTAAATAATTTGAAATTTAAAACAATTTATTTTTAAAAGTAAATGTTTTTAATAAAGATATATTAAATAGTATTTAATTAAATTAATTAAAGTAAAATGTAAAAATAATAAACTATAGAATACACTAAAATGTAAAAAAATTATTAAGTTATGTTAAACTTAATTAGTATTTAGTTA